TTCAACCCTGTTCCATTGGTCTGCAGTTCTGCCTTTGTTCCAGTACCATGCTGTTTTAATTATTACTGCTTTGTAGTACAGTTTGAAGTTCGGGAGGTTGATTCCTCCCATTTTCTTTTTCCCAAGAATTGCTTTAGCTATTCGTGGGGGCTTATTGTTCCATATAAATTTCAAGAGTGTTTGCTCCATTTCTTTGAAGAATGTCATGGGTATCCTTATAGGGATTGCATTGAATTTATACAATGCTTTCGGTAGTATTGCCATTTTGACAATGTTAAGTCTCCCGACCCATGAGCAGGGGATATCTTTCCATTTCCTCATGTCCTCTTTTATTTCCTGAAGTAGCGTTTTGTAGTTTTCTTTGTACAGGTCCTTTACTTCCTTAGTTAAGCTGATTCCTAGGTACTTGATTTTCTGGGGCACAATTGTGAATGGGATTGTTTTTTTCATGTTGCTTTCTTCTCTCTCACTGTTTGTGTATAGGAAAGCCATGGACTTTTGGGTATTGATTTTATAACCTGCAACTTTACTATACGAGTCTATTGTTTCTAAGAGTTTTTTGGTGGAAGTTATTGGGTTCTCTAAGTAGAGTATCATATCATCTGCGAATAGTGAGAGCTTGATTTCTTCCTTTCCTACCTGAATGCCCTTAATATCTTTTTCCTGCCTAATCGCTATTGCAAGTACTTCCAGTACTATATTGAACAGCAGTGGAGAGAGTGGGCATCCCTGTCTCGTCCCTGATCTTAGAGGGAAGGCTCTCAGTTTTTCCCCATTGAGGATGATGCTTGCTGTAGGCTTGTGGTAGATGGCTTTAATTATGTTGAGGAAGGTCCCCTCTATACCCATTTTGGCTAGGGTTTTCATCATAAAGGGGTGCTGGATCTTATCAAATGCTTTCTCTGCATCTATTGATATGATCATATGCTTTTTATTTTTTCTTTTGTTGATATGGTGGATTATGTTGATTGATTTCCGAATGTTGAACCATCCTTGCATCCCTGGGATGAATCCTACTTGGTCATGGTGTATGATCTTTTTGATGAGTAGTTGGATTCTATTTGCTAGTAGTTTGTTGAGGATCTTTGCATCTGTGTTCATCAGGGATATCGGCCTGTAATTCTCTTTCTTTGTGGTATCTCTGTCTGCTTTTGGTATCAGTGTGATATTTGCTTCGTAGAAACTGTTTGGAAGTGTTTTTGATATTTCAATTTCGTGGAAAAGCTTAAAGAGTATTGGGAGTAAGTCTTCTTTAAAGATTTGGAAGAATTCACTAGTGAATCCATCCGGGCCAGGACTTTTGTGCTTGGGGAAACTTTTTATTACCATTTCAATTTCCTTGATGGTGATAGGTCTGTTCAGGTATTCCAGGTCTTCTTGGTTCAGCCTTGGGAGTCTGTAGGAGTCTAGGAATTTATCCATTTCCTCGAGGTTTTGATGTTCCGTGGCATAAAGCTTCTCAAAGTACTCCTTGAGGATCCTCTGAATTTCTGTGGTTTCTGTTGTAATGACCCCCTTTTCATTTCTGATTCGGTTTTTTAGGGTTTTCTCTCTCCCTTTCTTTGTGAGTTTTGCTAGAGGCTTATCGATCTTGTTAAAATTTTCTCAAAGAACCAGCTCTTGGTTTCATTGATCTTTCGGATTGTTTTTTGGGTTTCCATCTCGTTAATCTCTGCTCTGAGTTTTATTATTTCCTTTCTCCTGTTCGGGTTGTGCTCCTTTTTTTGGTCCTTCTCCAAGCTCTTAAGCTGTGAGGTTAGGTTACTTATGTGTGCTCGCTCCTCCTTCCTGAGGAATGCTTGTAGAGCTATAAACTTTCCTCTTAACACAGCCTTTGCTGTGTCCCATAAGTTTTGGTAACTCGTGTTCTCATTTTCATTCGTTTCTAGGAATCTTTTGATTTCCTCTTTGATTTCCTGTCTAATCCACTCGTTGTTCAATAGTGCACTGTTTAATTTCCAGGTGTTTGATTTAGTTTTCTGTTTTTGTGTGTGATTTACTTCTAATTTCAGCGCATTATGGTCTGAGAAGATTGTTGATACAATCTCTACCTTCTTAATTTTATGGAGGCATGTTTTGTGGCTCAGCATGTGGTCTATCTTGGAGAATGTTCCATGTACGCTTGAGAAGAATGTGTATTCAGCTTTTTGTGGATGAAGTGTCCTGTATATATCTACTAAGTCCCTTTCTTCCATTGTTTCCCTCAAATGAAGTATGTCCTTGCTAAGCTTGAGTCTGGTTGATCTATCAAGAGGTGACAAAGCAGTGTTGAAGTCTCCCACTAGTATTGTGTTGCTATTGATGTCTTTTTCCAAATCTATGAGTAATTGTTTTAAGTACTTTGCTGGTCTCTCATTAGGTGCATATACATTTATTATTGTAAGTTCTTCCTGTTGTACAGATCCTCTGATCAATAAGTAATGGCCTTTACTGTCTCTTATGACCTTCCTCACTCTGAAATCAATGTGGTCTGATATAAGGATGGCTACCCCAGCTTTTTTATGGGAGCTGTTTGCCTGTAGGATTGTTTTCCAGCCTTTGACTCTGAGTCTGTGTTTGCTTTGACTATTGAGATGCGTTTCTTGCAGGCAGCAGAATGTTGGGTTCAATTTTCTAATCCATCCTGCCACTCTATGTCTTTTAATTGGTGCGTTTAGCCCATTGACATTGAGAGAGATTATTGTTATGGGATTTTGTCCCATTGTTATGTTAAAATTGGGTGTATTTGAGGGGCCTTTCTTGCCTTAAAGTAGCCCATTTAGTTGTTCTTGTAACCATGGTTTTGAGTCTATGAAGTTCCTGAGCTGTTGTTTGTCTGTGAAACTGTGTGTTGTTCCTTCTATTATGAATGAGAGTCTTGCTGGGAAAAGTATTTTGGGGGAGGCATTTATTTCATTGAGTTTTTTTACTATGTCCCACCACTGTTTTCGGGCCATGAGGGTTTCATCAGAAAAATCAGCTGTGAATTTTAAGGATGCTCCTTTGTAAGAGATTTCTTTCTTCGATCTTGCTGCTTTCAGAATTTTGTCTCTGTCTAAGGTTTTGGTCATTTTGATCAGAATGTGTCTTGGGGTATTTTTATTCGGATTTCTTCTAGCTGGTACCCTTCGGGCCTCCTGAATGTGGTCACAAGTTTTCTTCAGCTCTGGAAATGTTGTAGCAATGATGTCTTTGACAGTTTCTTCTTCATCGAGGTTTTCTTCCTGTCCCTCTGGGACTCCAATAATTCTTATGTTACCCCTCTTGGCTTCATCACGATCTTCTCTTGCCATCTGTTCCCGAATTGTGAGTCTCTTTTCCATTTTCTGCTCTTTTCGGGAGAGTCTCTGAACTTCATCTTCGAGCTCACTGATTCTGTTCTCAGCCGCTGTTACTCTGCTGCTGAGGCCTTCCACTGAGCTTTTCAATTCGCCTACGAGATTTTTCAGGTCTGACATTTCTGATTGCATTTTCCTCATTTCTGCCTTCAGATCCTCTTGTCTTCTATTGGCATTGCTTTCCATTGTTTCTTTTAATTCCCTAAGCATGCTAAGTAGCTCCCTTCTGAATTCCTTGTCAGAGAGGTTGTCTAACACTACAGTACTGTTGGTGTCATCTGGGCTAGACTCTTCAATATGAATGTTTGGTGGGCTTTTGCGTTGCTTTACCATTGTGAGAGGTGTGGTTTAGTCCTTCACGTTCAGTGTTACTATTCTGCTTGATATGCAGTGTGAGTTAAGATAGGCTTATGAGTTATTGGCAACTGTATTTCTAGTGGCTGAGCTAAAATAGAGAAGTTTCCATCTAAGAAGTTAGCTTATGGTTCCTATGGCATATGTAGTGGGAAAATATTTCGCGGCCGCGTTAGCGGCCGCGGCTCCGGAAAGAGTCCCTGGCACTGGGCGAGGAGTTGGGAATGTCTCCTGTTTGGAATTGGAGCCGTTCAGCTTTGTTGCCCAGAGCTGGGCCTCTGTGCCCGTCCCACGCGGCTCAGGGGTTGAAAACCGGCTGTCTCGGGGCTGTTTCTAGCTGCGCGTGCCCAGAGAGGAACCCAGGCCCTTGGGGGCGGGCTGTACCTGTTGGAATTCGTCAGTAGTCTTATATATGGATGTCAAGATATTTCCATTTCTCCATTGAGGAGATTAGATAGGAAAGCTGACTTAATTGATAAATTAACAATTTGGCTCTGGTCCTATTCTGAGTTTTGTTGATGTTTTATCTCTGAAATATATAAATGACTAGGCAGAGCTTAAGGTAGTTGAACGTTTGAATTAACAGATTGCTTGGGTCCTGATTTATAAGTATTTTCTGATGTGATTCTGTCTCCTTCAATAGGAAGAATGAGATACTGTTCTTAAGAATATCCTTTGAGGATGATGCTGACTAGTTGATATTCTCATATAAAGGTCTCTCAAAGTACCATATTTTTTCCCTCAATTTCTACCGATTCAATACTTTTAGTAGTTTCACTGGGTTATGTATCTGAAGGACAGTTACCTCATCTTAAATTCTATGAATAAAAGCCAAAATGTGAAAATTCAGCCAATACCCCGTATTTACAGAAAGCATGCATAAATAAATGAAAGTCAGAATATGAGAAGAATATATGTATAACTAGATACACATATGTTCACAAAACAAAAAGTAAATCCTTCAGAAAATGCAACCTTTTTTGTAATTTGATGAGAAAACAAGAAATTTTATATACATTTTTATTTTACTTTTCTAAGTAATCTTTCTTTTAAAATCTAAATAATTCCTAGCAGTCTGTAACTAGGGATTACAAATTAATTTAAACAGTATTGAAAAACTATTGAAACAGCTAAAAGAGAGAGGTATTTTATAATTTATCAAGCAATGAATATTGACACTTTATTTTCAGTGTTTAGATCGATTTGCTCGAGCGGGCCCAGTAATGTCTCCATTGGAGACTTTGTTGTTACTGTGTTTGGCATATCGAATACATCACGGGGAGCTTGCCAGGCTCTGCCGTGTGGGCGAGATACTCTCGGTAGCTTGCCAGGCTCTCCGAGAGGGGTGGAGAAGGTTAGCACTCTCCTTGACAAGGATGGAAGAGGCTTCGGCCTGCAACACGCATACGGTTAAGGCAGTGTTTAGATAGGCAAGGCTAAACATTATTAAAATAATTAGGCACTAGTCTATTATATCTAAAGCAAGTGATATAACTGATTTTAACTAAAATGTTTATTTCTAGTAAATAATTATTAATAGATAAAATTATTTTAAAAGATTTTGGTTCTATAAAGGTATAAACATTGTATGACAACACTTAAGATGCTTTAGTATGTGCTAATATGTGTGTGTTTTTATAACAACTTTATTGAGATATATTTCACATGTCATAAAATTAATTCACTTAAAGTATACAATTCAGTTGATTTTAGAATATTTGCAGAATTGTTTGATCATCATAACTGCTTAATTCTAGAATAATTTTATTACCCTCCAAAGAAACAGAGCTAATTAGCACTCACTCTTTATTCTTCTTTTCCCCTACTGTTTTCAATCACTTACCTACTATTTCTATTGATAATTTGCCTATTCTGAATATTTCATTTAAACACGCATCTTTTGTGACCTGCATCTTGTATTTTGCATAATAATTTTTAAGTATTATTCATGTTATAGAATATGTCAAGACATCCTTTTAAACTTAATTCTCATATGTACTTCTGCTTACTTAAGTGAATTGGGGGTTAACAATTCTAGGAATAGTCAGGAACAGATGAAATAATCACCTCTGTTTATATTGTGTGGTTAACAGCTATTAATTATACCTAACTTGTTTATTCTGTTATGACTGAGTTATCAGGGTTGCAATAGTATTTATGTCAAACAAATACTTCCACTATCACCAAAGTGCCAAAGACCCTCCATAACCATCCTTATGTTATTTCTTCTCTGCCTCTTCCTCAAAGACACTCCTATCCTCAACCAAAATACTCTCCTCCTATTCTTAGAAAACTTAGATATGTAATCAAAGTTCCAGGGTATGTCACTTCTATGTGTTTTTGAATTGTAAAATTGTAATATAGGGGCACACACAATGTATTTGACAGATCAGATTGTCTGCCACCTCTTTCAATGTATTTATTAAATAGCACTGTAGCGCTGTGATCCCATTGTTCATCGATTTGCTTGAGTGGGCACCAGTAACGACTCCATTGTGAGAGTTGTTGTTACTGTTTTTGGCATATTGAATACGCCGTGGGGAGCTTGCCAGGCTCTGCCATGCGGCAGGATACTTTCAATACCTTGTTGGGCTCTCTGAGAGGGATGGAGGAATGTATTTATTAAGACATAGTTAAATATGTGTTTGTGTGTGGATTCCAGTTTAGGTATCACGTTTCTATTTACATTAGCTATATCTCCATATATGTATGTATCTTTATATTTCTCCATCTTTTAGCAGACACTTTTAAGACAAAGTTGATTCTTAAGCGAGAAAAAAGTGAATGAAGGGTATGAAAAGGGAGTCAGCTTTAAACTTGTTCAGACTCAATTGTTACTGCACTTCATAACATGCACCAATGAGGTGGTTCTGAAAAATTATATCAAAGTTGAATTATATCAATGAATAAATAGGTTATTTGCAGGGTGGTTGGCAGCTCAGGGATCAGGGATACGTGGAAGGTCCTGACATTGAAGCTTGGTACCACATGGCCTCAAGCACTGCTAGAATTAATTTTGGTGACCTGCTCCACTGTTGACCATGACTAGCTCTGTGCTGCGGGGGAGAACTGAATTGTCCTGCCTGGTCGGGCATGTATTGTGGAAAGTAGCTCCTAGGCTACAAGTAAGCATTACTTGTACTACTAGTAAGCATTATATGTGTCCAGTCCCATTTCACTCCTTTTAAGGAAACCCTCTCATATAATTTTAAGCATAAGAGGAATAATGTTTCAACCTAGTAGTTTATAGATGTCCATTTTTAACACCATTTATGGTCAATAATAAACACAACTGAGAAATAGGAAGAGTCAAGTGGATGAGAATAGATGAAAACCCCAGCTCACCAGCAACTGCACTAATGTCTACTTTCAAGAACAACCTGCCAGAAAACCAATTTATCTTGATGAATACTCTCAGAACTACCAGAATCTTCACAGTGAGCATCCTGTATCTGAATGACCATTACAGTTTTTCATTCTCACCCTCCAAGGGGACATAGAGGGAAGCACCAACTGTGTGAAATAGTGGAAACACGGCAAGGTGAGTGAAATGAAATTCAGATAAAGTGGAGAGCCTTCCAAATACCACCGACAATCTTCTAAATCAGACATTTAATATAAAAATGAAAAATTTAGAAGAAAATAAAGGCTGATGTATGTTTTTAAGAAATCAGAAGCCTCTATAAAATGAAGGTCTTAGAATAAAGCCCTGCAAGTTGCAAATATTCTGTGAAATTTTGCAGATTTTTTTTTCTAAACAATAGTAGTACGGAAATGTCAGTTGGATTGGGGAGTATTTCATGTTATCTTTGTGGATGATTCGACTGACTTTTGTTATTTGCCTAGGGAACACAAGCTAAAGGATGCAGTTAAGCTTAAAGGCAACAAAAATTTGCATGTAAAGTCGGTGATCTTTGTCAAAAGTGCTTTTCAAATCCAATTTACAAAGTAAAAATATCAGGAAGCAGAGAAAGAGAATTAAATTGCATAACTATTCCTTCTCTGGTGGAATTGTGATTAGTTATGAAGTTTTTTCCAGGGTGATATGCTTGTTTCGGGCCAAATCCAGCTGTGCTCAGGGCTTACTACTTGCTTTATACTCAAGGATTACTAGGTACTTAGATGATCACATATGGAGTCTGAGACTTAACCTAAGTAGGCCACTTGCAAGACAAGTAACTTCTCCACTGTACTAACTCTCAAGTCAACTAGTTTGGAACTACTCAATGTAATTTTAAAATATGATCTGGATTCAAATAACTGTACTTAAAGTTAATAGTTAAGTGACTGTAGAATTTAGTCACTTCAGAATTATTTAAAATATGAAGAAAAATGTGAAGTCAGAAGTCGAACATTATTTTTAAAGCTGTAGATAAAATTAATTTAAAATGTCTAAGTTTTTGGGTCAGATGGATAGAAAGTACAGCAGGTAGGGTACTTGCCTTGCCTGCTGTTGATCAGGATTCAGTTCCTGGCTCTTCTCACGGTGCCAAGCCTGCCAGTAGTGATCCCTGAGCACATAGCAGAAAGGAAGCCATGCACATCCTGGGTGGTATCCCCCACAAAAAATTTACTTTTCATTATAAATATTGAAGTTTTTAATTTATAATTGACTAATTTTGCCTTAAAATACAATTATGAATTGGAAATTATAACTGAAGAAACCAAACATACTTTTCTTAAAACTGTAAGATATTATAATCTGTGTTGTATTTGTTCACAGATATCTATCTCTTGTTTTTTCAACAAGGAACTACTTTTCAAAGTAATCCTAGTTAGGTTGCTATTTTTATAGTTTCCATGTAACATGATTAAACAAAATTAGTGATCATCTCATCTCTAAGTGTTGTGAAAAAGGGTCTTTATTTAATGTGCGCAAGATGTACTTCCTGTGTGCAACAAGTTTCTACTCTGGCAGAAAAGACAGACATATTAATATTCCATTTAATATTCTACAATTTCACTGCATGATCATTCCCATATAAATTTATACAAGGAACACTTTTTCTAGAGAAAGGGTCAATTTAAAGTGCAGGTGTATTGGCAAGGGAATCTTATCTGGAGGTCACTATATATGAACTGAGATTTTAAAATTCTAACAACAATTTTTTTCAGATAAGGCAGTGGGCCCTCCATGTTCTAAGATAAGAAACATGAAAACAAATATGCTTTGAGATGCAGGGAAGTAAATTCATTCCATTTGAGATGCATCTTTCAAAATAAAAATTGGAATAGACCTTCATAAGATACAGTTATCAACGTGACACTTCAAAACAATATGAACTAGAACATCCTTTTTGCCTAAAATACTGCTATTCTTTCACCTTTATTAAATAGATTTTTAATGCATAGATTCTTTTGTGCATCTGTATTTGACATGAATGTATAAAATATATTTTACCACGGTTAGAACAAGAGTCTAGCAGCATAATTTATATTATTTTTGAGCCTGAACTTAGAATGCAGGATGCATTATGCTTTGCAAATCCTAGTCTTATCGATTAATAGATGTGTGACTTTGAAAAATCACTAATCCTTGTAAACATCTATGAAGTGTATAATTCTGTCAGTTATGGTCATGCTTGGTTCTGCCTCTTCTAAAGGAAGCTACTCAGTTTACAGACTCATATTGTCATCTATGTGACCATTATTTGCATGAAATTATATGACATTTCAATTTCACCCATTTACCCACTGACTCCTCAGGAGATATCCAGATTATTTCTAAAAGATATGGAGGACTAACAGAGAACGTACATACATTATTCAACACATACATAAAACAAACAAACAAGGGCAGAAAATAGTTGCCCGTATTTTTCTTTTTCCTGATAGAATTAAAGAATAGGTATCATTAGTTACTTCCAGCTGTCAAAGTAAACACCATAGATTGGGTGGCTTGAATAGAAGTTCATTTACTCTCAACTCTGGAAACTGTAGTCTGGTTTTAAGTTGACAGCATAGTCAGATTCTGGTGGTAACTGTCTTATCGACTTGGACACAGCTATGTCTCATTATGTCTTTACATGGGCATAGTGGGGGAAAACACTCTCCTATTATTTTAAAGTCCCTAATCCATCAGGTAATTTCCACCCTTTTTATCTAATCTAACCCTAATCAGTCCATAAAGATTGCATCTCCCAAATAGCGCCACATTGGGAATTAACCTTCAATATATGACTCTAAGGGGTGAAAAAACATTTAAACCATAGTAATATTTCATTTGAATTTTGTTATATAGTTTATGCACTAAATCTTAGAGAAACTTTTAAATGAAGAAGCATGGGCTTTGGGACAAGATAGGTTAAAAATTATTAAAGTATAGTTCCAATAATATCTATTGTGGTTTAGACAGTTTATTTCACTTTTGAGCCTCACCTTTAAAATCTTCTAAATAAATGATAGTCCTAATCTTTTTCTTCCATTCATTGAATATTTGCTATGTAAT